ACACACACACACACACACACACACACACACACACACACACACACACAGTCCATACTTTCCGGAGCCAGGGCTCCCTGCTGTTGCACTAACATTGTTGTATATTTCAGCTTTCTTATGTCATCCGCCTCGGCTCATTTCCATGATGCCTGGTTCATGTCTTTGTCGGGTTCCATGTCAGTTTCACTGTCGGCTTTGTAATGACACTATTAAAGGACTGTTTGGACTGGCCAACTGTATCATTAAAATGAGAAGAGCAGAAACTGTGTTGAATAAAAATGAAAGTCATGTGGCTTCATTATATAAACTGATTGTGTTTGACTAGTGTGACTCTCCAGGCCAAGATTATAAAAAAAACAAGCTGATATTTGGAGAGGAAGCTTCTGTGATGGGATGCGGCTGTTTGTTAAATAATGAATGAAAACTGCATGTGTTTCTTTCCCCCTCTTACAATGAATTTACATGACGTTATAATTATATCTTAAAATACAGTATACTAGAGAAAAACATTGTGGATAACCCCTGTACGCATTGTCATGAAAACAAATAAATATTAAGTCCAGAAAACATTTTGCAGTGGATACATAATGACTGAAAAAGTAAAATACGTTTTAAAATTATAAAGGCATGGTATCATTCCTGCTGTCCCAAGATAATAACTCAAAAAATTGAAAGGAAAGTTTTTGAGTAATGCACAATAAAGTTAGCGAGTGTTGTATATGTATGGCTGATATGGTGTGTAAAACTACGTATAGTGTTATTAACAAAAGTTGTTGCACGAATATCAGATTTTAGATGACATCTGCTGGAGATGTGACAAACATACAGCAAAGAGAGAGGGGGTGTTATAACAGGTGGGAGGGAAATAAAAGCCTTCAGGCACTTTTAGAAGTTCTCACATGTTTCTGAAGCACTTATTCTAAATCACGGAGAACTTTCAACTTCATCTGGGAAAATTGGACTAAAACGGTGAGCAACAATGTAAAAGGACACAGATGTGTGTGTAGATGTTGCTGTGCCGTTAGTTGAGTATATGCGTGTGTGTACATATCTGTACATGTGTGTGCGTGTCTAAAAACATGTCTGCAATTAAGGATGTTTGAGTCTCCTTTCCCTCTGTTCTGCTGCATTGAAACCAGCGGCTGGTAAACTGAAACTGGTCTTCATGCCAGAACTTGGCGCCTTCCCTGTCAGAGCTGTTGGAGGTGATTCAACTCCCCCCCCTAATCTGCAGCCCCCTACCACCGGCAGCAGTAATACAACTATACGCTGCTAAAGACTGCCTGTCAATTGCCTGCCTGAAACTCGTCCCCTGCAGTTTACAGGCCCATACCATGGCAGCGTGCTGAGCCAGAGCCCTGCTGTAAGCTGTAAACCTGAGGGTGTTTACTGTTAGCCAGAGAGACTAATATAAGAGCCATTAACAGCGGGGAGATGAAACTGAGCTGTCAAGAGACGAATGTCAAATTACTTTGGAGGAATTTACATTTTTTTTACGTTTTTTCTTTTTTACGCAAACAATGCATTTTTATTGTTTTATGGCCCAAGGAGCACAAACATTGACATCAGTTAACAGTAACAAAGAGCGATGTGTGCTTAACCTGCTTTAATCATGCAAATTATAAAATGCATATTTTATGACTTAATTATGACTAGTATGTCGCCACACGGGTAGATATCGAGATACTTGCTTCAGAGATTTCTGCTGCCTTGCCAAAGAGTTATGAGCAAGATTATTATTATTATTATGGATAACTCACAGTCCGCATTGTGAACAGTTTTCAATGGAACTTTACATAGAAAAAGTCCCATCATATAGTGTCCAGTGTGTAATTTGGTTCATCCAGAGTAAAAGAAGTGTGACAGAGTTTGTGCTCCTGAATCCTGGCTTTTCAAATAAAACACTGTAGTGTCAAAATCAGCAATCTCATTTCATAATTGCCTGCACACTGAAAAAACAAGTTGATAAAAAGAAAAAGAATCAATAAGTTTCATGTGTGGAAGTTGACACAACTTGAACATTTTTGACAGTTTTATTTATAGTTTTATTTATTTCGGATGTAGTGACTCTTTAATGTAACCACTTGTGCATTTGACTATGGGCTAAGACCACAGCACTAGTTTTTAATGCCGGCTGGGAAACAGATGTGCTTACAAGGATTGATTTGATTAAACACTGAAGCTAAACCTCTGTGCTCCACACCCTCAACAGACAATGTTTGTATTTCCTCCTCTGAGGACGTTTCTCTGACGACATGTTTGATGTAAAATAAGTCTGTATAATGTTTCATGCAAACACTAACATTTACAAGTTAGCTCAGATAAACCCCAAACTCCCCAAGCTAGCTGAAACTTTGTCAATCCAATCATCACAGTGCTGAGATTTGTATTTACTGAGACACAAAAACAAATGTCACAAGTGTTTTAGCGGCTCCAGCGCTAACACGCCACAGGAGCGCGGCTGCGATGGCGGCCGGGAATGTGTTTGGCACGTTTACCGCCGAGCTGTGGGACAACACTGCCACTTGTATCACACGTGGGGTCAGAGGTCAGCTTTCATGTCCCTGTATAGAGTTACAGGCAGCCAGGTCTTTGTTCTGGACCAGTCCTGATAGACGAGCTCGCACAAATGGCTGCCATGATGAGGGACATGATGGAGAGCAGACGAGTATGTGGTCTGGGTGGATGGTCTGCATCAGGTCCACACATGCAACAGCATCCTATTTGAATTAAGTAATTGCCCAAATAAAGGTTATTAGGTGCAATAAAGGTTTTTATTTTTGCTGTAAATGTGATGTCTCTTGTAAAACGAAACCTTGAACACAACAGGACGTATCAAGATGTGGTTAAATAAGAACTGATGGGGTTTTCAATGAGAGAAGAAATTCTTTCACTTTTGGTTTGTAGTGTAGTGCAGAAGAAAACAGTTTCTGAAATAATGTACACTCACGTTAACGGCCATCTGAACTAAAAAGGATAAAATAGACGCACTCTGTCCACTTCCATAATCATCTTTCATCAGCAGGTGTGTCATAGCACTTAAACCAAAGCCACACAAACACATTATTAACGTCTTTAATGCCCCTCCATGTAAAAAAGAACCCAAATAAACAGACTAATCTTTTGGGTAATCTCCCAATGCGACGGCAGATCCCGACTTCCCTGTTAGGATCTCTTGAGTGGAGATTGCTTTGCGGTCCAGAGTTTATTGTGTTTGTCCAGCAGTTTGAGTCTGGTGCTGAGTTTTATTTTATGGTGGCAGGGCAGATGAAAGGTTTCCCTCCACTGGGCTAAAATAAACAGTAGTTCACAATCACAGCCGGGGCTGAATGAGAGGCTCAAAATGTGCCACGTAAACACACATTAATCAACGTGTGGAGAAATTCTCAAGAGCACCAAATGCATCAGCTGGATCATAAAAAGGAAAGTGTTGAGTTAAAACTATGCCGACTTCATCTACTTTAGGTTGAGCTACGAGAGATTTACAGTCTTTTGAGTCTGGGTTTTACAATAACTGAAATTGTATGTGTGTGTGTGTGTGTGTGTGTGTGTGTGTGTGTGTGTGTGTGTGTGTGTGTGTGTGTGTTTATGGTGGTGATTTGAAGCAGGGTTCTGTAAACAGGATAAACATGAGGTTTTGGGGGTTTAAGGTGTGTGTGGGGGTTAAAGAGGGGGATGTGTGTGTGTGTGACGTGCGTGTGATGTGTGATGTGGCTGTTATCAGTTGGCACGTTTTCCACTGATCCTCAGCAGCTGGCCTCTCAAGGGGAACACACACACACACGCACACACACACACACACACACACACACACACGCACACTTCTTGTTGAGGATTGATATGACGAGAAGATAAACCTGTTAATCAGTAATTAATCAAATATTCTAGTACTTTTAACAGATCAGATTCATATTAAAATACTTATTTACAGACAATATAAGCGTTTAAATGAGTAAACTACAAATACTAGTACAGACTTGAGCACTCAGCAGTCAGGCGGAAACAATGATTAAACACCACAGAGGTCTCGGCTGAACAAAACGTGAAGAGAGCTCCTCATTGAGTCGGCCTCTTGGCCATTTTAATCCTGCAGTCCCCATTCACATGTACAGCACATAAGTCAGAAAGTTATGGACGCCGGCAGAGAGCGACGATAAAGGCATTTCCATTTGAATACGCGTCTGGTCTTTAGGTAGAAACTTCCTGAATGCGTTTGAAGTTTTCAGCTCTCCTTGGCTGTCAGTTATGGGAGAAAAGCGTCTCAGTGACTAATCCAGTTTACTTTGTGCCCGTCTGTTGAGGAGAGCATCTGGCATGACACCAAATGCCACTCAATAGATGCTTCTCCAAACAAAGGCCAAAATAAAAATGGCCGCCCCTCCCATGCGCCCTCCTCCTCGCTCCTCATTTCCTGCTCGACAAGCACATTGAATCCCTCTCGTCTTTCATATATTTGTCAAGAGCATGTTTTTTATCTGACCCTGTTGCC